AGGTGAGCTTTAAGTGTGGTACAATCAGTAGCTCACTGATGTTACCAGGATCTTTGTCTCTTTTATTCACTGTCCTTGGTGCTGTCTTCATCGTAAGGCTAATTTCAACTCATGATTATAAGACAGCTACCAATAACCACTGGGGCTACATATTTTCAGGTTCACATATTTCAATTTTAAGATATAAAATTTCTTTGGCAAGTATAGATATAATTACTTTACTAGAATCTAATTGAGCCCAGTTTGATCACTTGCCCACCATGGGAGCGATATGAATCATCAGGAAAACTTCAAGTGCTGGTTAACCTACTCTAATCCACCCCTGGAGCTACAAATGGAATCAGTTTCCACAAGCTTGTATGGAGCAGAAATGGATATCTTAATAAAAGGAATGTTCTTGGCCAGGCAAGGTGGCTCACACCTGTAATCCCAGCACTTCAGGAGACCGAGGCAGGAGGATCATGAGGTCAGGAGTTTAAGACCAGTCTGGCCAATACAGTGAAACCCTGTTTCTACTAAAAATACAAAAAATTAGCAGGTGTGGTGGCATGAGCCTGTAATCCCAGCTACTTGGGAGGCTGAGGCAGGAGAATCATATGATCACACCATCGTACTCTAGCCCAGGTGACAGTGCAAGATTCCGTCTCAAAAAACAAAAAGTTCTTATAGGAAGAAAGAACAGGGACTGGTGATGCAGTAAGAACCCACGGGATGTTTGCTGTTTCTCTTCTCTAAGCTAGACCATATTTTGGCTCTTTTAATTACAGTGAGGCAAAGCATATAATAACAAAATGGCTGGGTGTGGGGCTCACACCTGTAATCCCAGCACTTTGGGAGGCTGAGGCAGGAGAACTGCTTGAAGCCAGGAGTTTGAGACCAGCCTTTCTACAAATAATAGAAAAATATAACACCAAAACACCAAGACCAATCAGAGTTTTATACTCCTTTTATTCTCTATCAAATGCAACTCTAAGCAATGTCCAGGTACTATCCAAACACCTTCCAGCCCTCTGCCAAAGGCGAAATTCTTCAATCATGTGAACAGTGCTGAGTCCTGATGTTTGTGTGGTTCATCTTGCCAGGGGGATGGGCAGATACAGAGAAGTTGTTCTTTCACCCTATGGCCAAACCTCTGTAAGGATAACAGGGAAAATGGATTTGGAGAAAGATAGGTGATCTGGTCTTTTATTATTTTTCCAGGTTGAAGTTGGGGAAGGGGATTATAGGTCTCCCTTATCAGTGTAGTTATGAAGGGTCACAAGAGCTTGGAATCTTTCATTTAAGAGAAACCGTCTTTTTTTTTTTTTTTTTTTTTTTTTTGAAGGAGTCTTGCTCTGTCACCCAGGCTGGAATGTAGTGGCATGATCTCAGCTCACTGCAACCTCTGCCTCTCAAATACAAGCAATTCTCCTGCCTCAGCCTCCTGAGTAACCAGTACTACATGTATCTGCCACTATGCCCAGCTAATTTTTGTATTTTGAGCAGAGATGGGGTTTTACCATATAGGCCATTCTGGTCCAAACTCCTTACCCTGTGGCCTCCCAAAATGTGCTAATTCCATTACTTCCAATAAATAGAAAAAAAAAAATCAGTAAATAGGCAAGTCGAGGAGTCTCTGGACCCATGTAAAATATGTTCCTATGGTCTCCTACATGAAAAAGATGGGAAACTACAGCAGTAAGAGCAAGAAATCCTGGTGGCTTCTAGGATAATGATAAGAAAGATGGAAAGATGTGGACTAATTCAAAATGTATTTTGGAATAGAATCAAAATGATTGGATGATATATCAGATACAAGAATAAACAAAGTAGAGAATAAATGACTCCCAGATTTCTGGTTGAAACATCTAAGTAGACTGTGGTGCCATTTCCTGAGACAGGAAAGAGCATAGGAAGTGCAGGTTAGTAAACATAGTCAAGAATCTCATCTTATTTCGAATAATGTAAATTTGAGACACATGAGAGATCTCTAAGTGCAAACATCAATAAGCAGTTGGATAGTCTAATATTAACAGTCCTAACAAGACAGGGAGGCGTGGCCTGGAGACACAGATACAGAAGCTGCCTAGCCCCTCTCCCTACTCTCCCATCCACAGCCTGTGGTTAGAGGACTTTTGAAAGTCAGGGCACACTTCTGCTTGGGAGACTGCATGGTTCTAATAGTCTCATATAACAGGGAGGCCCAGAGGAGGATGTCTGTCTATCAAGGCATATGTTACCCCACCCACAGGAGCTCCAGTTTGTGACCATGGCCAGACTTTGCCTTGCATAGCCAACTCCTGTTCAGCAGAGCAAAAGTAACTTTTCACCATCCTCAGGCTATGATAGAAAAAAGGCTTTGTATATACTTTTTTTTTTTTTCCCACAAATGAGACTTTTTATTTGCCACTACTGTAAGTCTGAACTTTAAACAGATTCTTGGACTAGTGGTTCATATCCGTCAGCTCGTTCAACTTTAGCACCTGTCTCACCTGCAGTGGCTTTTCCAGAACTACTGCCTTCACCATGAAGCTCCATAAATTTTCCAAATTCAAACTCAGGCTTCTTCAGCATTTTTACTTTTCTAACGAAGACATCATGGAAAGGATAAATAGATGAGCAAGGATTTTCTGTGTCTTTTCAATGCTGTCTGGAATCAATTTATTGACCACTTCTTTCATGTCATTTGTCTGCACCTCTCGGGTCATGATTTCCATCACCTTCTTCTGTATTTGGCAGACCTGTTGGTGCTGAGCATAAGACGTCTTCCGTATCTGATTGTTGTGTTTTTTAGTAAAACCAACAGAGAGAAGACAAAGCAAATAACCATTGGTAGTCTTGACATCAACAAGAGCTTCAATCATTGTCTGCCATTTTTTGACCATGGAACACATTTTGTCATGGGTAAGATCCATGCTATGGAAGTTGGTCAGGTAGTTTTTGCCCTGAACATCTTCAGTAATCAGCTTCCATTTCCTAAATGCAACTTTGTCATTCTGCAAATCAGCAAGACTAACTTAAAACACTTGACCCTTGAGACCATCAGATGCAGTTTTGGTTCCTTGGGTCCTGGTGACTAGCGTCTTTCCAATATTTCTTATATTGAACATAGCAGGTGCTTTCACATCATACCAATCTTTCTTAGAAAATGGATCAACCACTTTCTTCTTGGCTCCCTTTTTGCCACCTTTCATAAGGTGCTTGTTCTTGCCATCCACCATGGTGCTGCTCAGAGAGCCAAAAGGGCTGTATATACAATTCTTATACAAACTGTACAATTTTAAAAGTTGTATTTCTGGATTTTCAGTTGTTAAGAGAAAAACAGAACTTATTTTCCATTTTGACCTTGCATCCTAAGATTTTCTTTCTTTCTTTCTTTCTTTTTTTGAGACAAGGTCTCACTCTGTCACCTAAGTTGGAGTGCAATAGTGCAATCACAGCTTACTGCAGCCTCCACCTCTTGGGCTCAATTGCTCAATTGACCCTCCTGCCTCAGCTTCCCGAGAAGCTGTGACTATAGGTACATGCCACCATGCCTGGCTAATTTTTCCATTTTTTGTAGAGATAAGGTCTCACTATGTTGCGTAGGCTGATCTTGAACTCCTGAGCTCAAATGATCTACCCACCTTGGCCTCCCAAAGTGCTAGGATTACAGGCATGAGCCACCACCCCTGACCATATCCTGAGATTTTCTAAATTCACCTATTTATTATGATCATTTATCTATATAATCTTTTTTGTTTTCTCTACACACAATCACATTGTCTGGGAATAATGGTTCCATTCCTTCCTTTCCTAGCTTTTTTTCGTTTTTAAAAACTGAGACATAATTTACATACTTTAAAATTCACCCTTTTAAAGTGAACATGTCAGTGGTTTTTATTTAGTGTATTCCGAAGGTTATGCAGCTATCACCATTCCCTAATTCTAGAAAAATTTCATTATCCAAAAAAGAAACCCTGTACTCATTAGCATTGACGCCTTACAGCCATTAATCAACTGTTTCCTGAAGCATCAATTTTGCTAAAATTCATTTACTAAATAATCATTGTGTAGTTATTATATGCTACACATGGTTTTAGGCATTAGGTATTCAATATGAAATGAGATAAAGTTCTTCCTTTTGAGGAGAAAAAGACAATTTAAAAACAGTGTTTTGACAATAAAAGAGCTCAGATATATAATGGACTAGGATGCAAAAATGCATAAATTTTTACAATAAAACTTAGAACTTCAAGGTAAATTTCCTGTTGGACCAGGCACTGCAAGCTCTGCCCCAGCCCTATGGTGATATGCTTTCATTCTCCTTTCCTGCTGCAGCCAATACGAGCACTTTATAGGAAAAGGCTGAGAAACACTGCTTTAATGTTCATCTGTATACTGAAGGAATATGCATGCAATGATTACAGGTTGAAGCAATAAACCAAAGCCTTCTGGCTCAGGCATAAATATTGCCCAATTATTTAGTAATCATAAATTGGTATACTCCATTCATCCACTGAACAAATAATGAGTGAGTTTCTTATTAGCACACAATGGAAGACATAAAAATATGAAAGATACATGGTCCTGATCTTAAAAGTTTTACTCAAATCACTAGATACCTAAGAAAATATAATAATGTATTAGAGTTTCGAATCAGACATAACAGGCAAATCGCTTCTGGAAAATAAAAAAAATTCTTCCATTATGGAATTTATCCATTGTAAACAAAATGAAACACTTTATAAAAATGTTCAGCTGGGTGTGGTGGTTCACAGATCTCCTGAGTCCAGGAATTTGAGCCTGCAATGAGCTGTGATTACACCTCTGTATTCCAGCCTGGGCAACAGAGTGAGACCATGTCTCTAAAAATGAATAAATAATAATTAAATAAAAATAAATACATAAAATACTTATGTCATCCTGGAACTTACACTTGGATCACCTGTTCCTAGTATCTGCAAATATAACTAGACATCAAAAAGGAGTTGAATTAATCTATTATCCAAAGTAAATTACTAGTAACTGTACTGACTTACTTTTCAGTGCCTCATTCATTTGTGCCTTGTGGTTAGCTGCATGATACCAGGTGATCTCAGCGCCATCTTCTGTGGTAATCTGGTTATTTCTCAGAAAATATTCCAGTATATTTTCACTCCACGATCCTAAAACAACAGTATTTACATGAAAAGTAATATTGTTTTCCATAGGGTAAAAATTTTAAAAATTAATTTCATTGTGTATATTTAAGATATACATATGCTGTTATGTGCTATATATAGATAGTAAAACGGTTACTATAGTGAAGCAAATGAACATATCCATCATCTCACATGCCTATGTTCTGTGCGTGTTGCAAGAACAGCTAAAATCTCATTTAACATGAATCCCTTACATATAGTACGATTTTATTACCTGGAGTCCTCATGTTGCACATTAGATCTCAACTTGTTCATCTTTTTCTTTTTTTTTTCCAATTTGAGAGCAGGAACTGTTTATTAACTGATCAGCTTAGAAAAATAACCATGGTAGTCACTTTAGTTCATTCATCTAATAAGCCTGTTGACCTGGTCCTCCCTGTTGCCACCATCTCCACCTTCTACAAAATGGGTGGTCATTTTCTTCATTCTGCCTCATGGAGAAGATAATTTGAAGGGCAATGGGAAGTTATTTGCTTCTCTGAAGCATTTTTCAACAGTACAGATCTCACGAATCAGATCCTCTATGCAGATGATGCCATATTTACCAAGAGATTGAGCAATCAAAGTGTTATCTGTCAAAGCAATTCACTTCTTGTTGATTTTGCCATAACCATGTTTATAGATCAGTTCATTTACTGACTTTGGATTTGAGTACCCCCATGCAATATATACCCCCTGCATATTAACTGAAGCCTTGTTGAGTTTCACAAATGTCCCACTGAAGATTTGCCAGAGGCAAAGAAGCTGTAACACCTTTCGGCTCACACCATTGATACCTCTGATCCTGATGACAAATGCCGATTTGGGGGCTACAGGTACCTAGAAGTTGCCAGCTTGTCTTGTCATCCTAGCCATTTGAATTTCAGTTCTGTATATCTGCCGATATTCCTTGTGATAGTGCTTTATTTTTTCATAGATAGCTTCCTCTTTGCCTTTCAAAGCATCTTTTGGGCAAAATTCTTTCTCCTGTACTTGATCTTCAGCTCTGTGAAATTCTTTCACTTTTTCTTAAGGTTTCTGGCACAGCAGGAACCTTCTTCTCTTCTGTGCCCTCCATGGTTCCAGCCAGAAAAAGAGGCAACTTGTTCATCTTATATAACTGTTCTGTATCCTCTACCTACATCTCCCCATTTCCTCTGCTTCCCTCTCTCCTAACCATTGCTTTGTTCTCTATTTCTGTTACATTTGAATTTTTTTGATTCCACATATAAGTGAGCTCATGCACTATTTGTCTTTCTGTGTCTGCCTTAGTTCACTTAGCATAATGTTCTCTGGGCTCATCCACGTTGTGGAAAATGGCAAGTCCTCATTCTTCTTTAGGGCTGAATAATATTCCATTTTCCCTGTGTACCACAGTTTATTTATCCATTCATCTATCAACAAACACTGGTTGTTTCCATACCTTGGCTACTGTAAATAATGCTGCAATGAACATGGGAGTGCAGACATCTTTACAAAGTGGTGATTTCATTTCCTTTGGGTATATGCCTGGAAAAGGGATTGCTGAGTTATGGGGTAAAAAACAAAACAAACAAACAAAAAACAAAGGGCAGACGAGATATTAAAGGATAATAACAAAGTAGTTAGACTTGGAAAAATACAAGATTTCAAAAATAGAGAACAGGTATTATGATGTGGCAAATATATAGTATATAAACATGTTATATGTTATGTTATATAATAATTAGTAGACAGATAGGATAGTCTGAACATCAGGAGCATAAGAATGTAGGAAGAAAATAAAACTGGTAAGAAGCAGATATTTAAAAGCTGGAAATTTCATATGATGTTCTCTACAATCCTGGTCTCAGAAATATAAGGAAAACTGACGTAAAGCCAAAACTATATTTAAAATTCTAAGTCTCAGACAACTTAATTGTTTTCTCTACCTGAAGCCCCCTTCTATATTTATATTGACAACTTAGAATTTAAATTGCACATTTTACTGCATATCCACCTTCAGATTCTCAGCAACATCTACTTGAGTGACCACGTAATCTCTTGAATTAGCATTCATAAGTTTATCTAGTGTGTACAAGATACATAATTCTCATCTTTCATCTAATTTTTGATATAACATATTTTCTCTTAATTAAGCATTGAAATTTGTGAGTTAACCAAGACTAAGGTAAGTGGTAACAAAAATATCTGAACCCAGATCTACTCCACGCTATATCATAACATAATAATAAAAAAGAAGAAAATACTGAAAAAAAGTTGTCCATAATTTTACCTCCCTAATCGTTGTTTATGCTTCAACATTTATAAAGAGCCTAGCAAGTGGCTGCAAATTCCCCATGCATGAGAATCTTTCCTCTGTTAATTATTTGTTTGTTAACTCTACCTTACAACAGTTAAAAACCTAAAACTGCCTCTCCTTTTTTTTTTTTTTCCCATCTGCTATCTGCAGTGGAGATGCCACCAAAATGCAGATTTCGTAAAAACCCTTCCGGGGAAGCCCACCACCCTCAAAGCTGAACCCTTGGACACAACAGAAAAAGTAAAGGCCAAGATCCAGGAACTCCTCCTGATCAGCAAAGACGGATCCTTGCTGGTAAGCAACTGGAAGATGGACATACTTCGTCCGACTACAACATTCAAAAGGAGTCTACTCTTCATCTTGGGTTGAGACTGTGGTGGTGCCAAGAACAGGAAGAAGCCTTACACCACTCCCAAGAATGATAAGCCTGAGAGAAAGAAGGGGAAGCTGGCTGTCCTGAAATACTATGAGGTGGATGAGAATGGCAAAATTAGTCACCTTCATCGAGAGTGCCCCTCATATGGTGCTGGAGTGTTTATGGCAAACTACTTTGACAGACATTATTGTGGTAAATGTCTGACTTACCGCTTCAACAAATCAGAAGATAAGTAATTGTGTACGAGTTAATAAAAGATATGAACTAACATCTTTTTTAAAAACTCCCCAAAAAACCAAAAACCTAAAATCTACAGATGGCTATCGGAAACTGCTGATAAGATATTGAGAAAAGTTAAAATTTGACCAGAGAATGGAGGGGCATATAAAGACAAATTCTAACTAAGGTACATGGGACTCAGCAATCACTTCTAATACTAGGCTGCAGAATAATTTAAAAAAGGAAAGTTAGGTGGAGGATCCACTATCCCCAAAGCAGTCTCCCACCCAAAACATGTGGCTCTATCTGGCATATGTAATAGAGTCACAGACCTTTCAGACTGAAATGGCAACACAAAGCCGTCATTCTTTAAAATATTAAGGTAGGCATTTTAGAATTAGGCACCTTATCAATTGGCTATAACAAATGTCCAACCATAGGGAAATAATTAAATCACAATATATACGCATGATAGAAATGTGGCTGTTAAAAATGAAGGTTTTGAGATATGTCAAATGATTTAGAGAAATGGTAAGTATGCATATTACCAGAAAAACCTAAATGTTAGTTAATGGTTCATATTGGATATTTCCACAGCACTTTTCAACTAAACATACTGCATTCAGAATTTCTATAAAGGCAACTTACAAGGTAATAATAAAATACTATGACTCTAGAATTTAAAAACCTGTAAAGTTAAAAGTTCTCCTTATCCTTTTGGTAAGTGAAATATTTAGTTTGTATTTAAGCCACAACTGTATATATCTTAAAATTTAAAGAGAATCCAATTAATTACCTATGATCTAGGGTCTTAGTATTATCATTTAAACAGGCTGTAACTCCAAAAACAGGGCCCAGAGAAAGGCAAAAATAGCTGCAACTTTTTTTTAAGGTTGAGTTTTTTAGCACTTTTTTTTTTTTTTTTTTTTTGAGACAGAGACTCACTCTGTCACTGAGGCTGGAGTGCAGTAGCACGATCACAGCTCATTGCAATCTCTGCCTCCCGCGTTCAAGCAATTCTTGTGCTTCAGCCTCCCAAGCAGCTGAGATTACAGGCATGTGCCATCACATCGGCTACTTTTTGTATTTTTAGTAGAAATGGGTTTTCACCATGTTGGCCAGGCTGGTCTTGAACTCCTGGCCTGGCCTTTTGAGCAGTTTTCATTTACAGAAAAAATTAGGCTGGGCACAGTGGCTCACACCTGTAGTCCTAGCTACTCGGGAGGCTGAGGCAGGAGAATAGCTTGAACCCTGGGGTCAGAGGTTGCAGTGAGCCAAGACCATGTCACTACACTCCAGCCTGGGCGACAGAGCAAGACTTCATCTCCAAAAAAAAAAAAATTAAGCAAAAAGCGCAAAGTTCCCATATTATCCCCACTCTTCCTCTCAATTTCCCTGGTTTTTGCTTTTTTGGTAATTAAGAAATTGCTTTTATTTGAAGCTCCCCAATTTTTAACATCTTGCATTAGTGTGGTATGTCTGTTAGAGTAAACGAGCCAATACTGACATACTGTTATTAGCTAAAGTCCACAGTTTACAGTAGAATTCATTCTTGGTGTCATACATTCAATGGGTTTTGACAAATGTGTAGGTGTACATCTGAGATAGCAGGTTCAGTTATGGACCACTGCAATAAAGTATCACAATAAAGCAAGTCACACACACATTTTTTGGTTTCCTAGTGTATATGAAAGTTATGTTTACACTGTTATACTGCAGCTTATTAGGTAGGTGTACAATAGCATTATGTCTAAAAAAGTGTGCACACCTTAATTTAAAAATACTTTATTGCTAAAACAATGTTAACAATCATCTGAGCCTTCAGCTAGTTGTTATCTTTTGACTGGTGGAGGGTCTTGCCTCCATGTTGATGGCAACTGATCAATCAGGGTGGTGGTTGCTGAAGCCTGAGGTGGCTGTGACGATTTCTTAAAATAAGACAATAAAGTTATCAACATCAATGGATTCTTCCTTTCATGAAAGCTCTCTCTGTAGCACACAATGTTGTTTGATAGCATTTTACCCACAGGAGAACTTTTCAAAATGAGAGCCAATCCTCTCAAACTCTGTTTCTGCTTTAACAACTTAGTGTATGTAGTATTCTTTATTCCAGTGGGGGCAGGGAATCACTGATCACAGATCACCATAATAAATATAATAATTTTAAAACTTGAAATATTGCAAGAATTCCCAAAATGTGACAGGTGCAAAGTGAACACATGCTATTGAAAAATACGGCCCCAATAGACTTGCTCAATACAAAGTTGCCACA